GTGGAGATATTTGGCCGCGAAATCGATCAAGTCCGGGGGCACGGACCGCGGCCCCCGCGCGCCGGCCGCCGCAGAGCGGCGCCCGAAACCGCCGCCGAAACGGGTTCTGGGGTCATGAACGGCGATGTGGCGGATTTGACGTGATCTGTCGGGCCACGGCTCACCCGTAGTGATAGACGAGCTGCACGAGCCACTTCGCCGACGGGAACTCGCGCAGATCTAGCCGCGGTCCGCGCCTCGAACGTGTCGTCGGGACCCGTCTTCGGCCGCGCGCCGCACCACGACCACGGCCTCGGCCGACGCAGTTGAGCGCGCGCCGCATCTATGCGCAACATGGACGGACCGCCGCGACGGTTTACGGACCCGCGGCGACCTCCGGACGCGTCCAGCGCCGCCCGCTGCTCGGCCGCTCCCGCAGGCGGTTTCCGAGGCCGTGTGCGCCGTCGCGCGCACGCCGTTTCCAGCGCTCAAAAGTGGCACGCGACCGCGCAGGGACTAGTAGACGCGGACGGAAGCGGCGCGGGGGTCACAGGCGGCCTCATACGGCCTGTGGCGCGGCGCGAAGGCCATATTGAGGCTAATCGTCCGAGAGGTTTGGGTGTGAAAGGTCGACCTTTGCCGCAACACTCGACAGCTGAGCTCGGCGCCGCGCCCGCCGCCAATCGCGTCGCGGAGCGCGCGCACCCAGCTCGCACCGACTACCGACGAAAGCGCGCGCACCCAGCTCGCACCGACGAAAAAACTATGGACCTCTTCGGCGGCATGTCCGTCAAGTCGACGCCGACGCCGGCGACGCCGGCGACGCCGGCGACGGAGCCGGCGCCGACGCCCGTGGCGCCGAGCAGCTCCGGGTCCGCCTTCTCGTTTTTGAACACGCCGGCGCCCGCGGAGGACGAGCCCGAGCCCGAGCCCGAGCCGGCACCGGAACCGGAACCGGAGCCGGCGCCGGCGCCGGAGCCCGAGCCGCCGGCGCCCGAGCTCCTCGACATGGCGATGCCCGAGCCCGAGGTCGTCGCGCCGCCGCCGGCGCCCGCGCCGCCGCCGGCGGCCGAGCCCGAGCCCGCGGCGCCCGCGCGGCCCGCGGCGCGGCGGCCCATCGTGAAGAAGAAGCGCGCGAAGAAGGTCGGCTACGCGCGCGAGGACGACGAGCCCGCGGCCGCGGCCGCGCCGGCCGCGGCGCCGGCCGCGGCGCCGG